TTTTATATTTGTGTTTTTTTAGTATTCTTTCAATGTTTTAAGACTAGAATTATTAAAATTTCGGTGTTGAGAACTATTTTCATTTTATAAAATCACTTTTTTTTGGGAAAAACAAATATAACTTACTCCAACTAAGCTACTCCTAATACCACATATGTCCCGAACGAGACTTTAACCCTCGACCTTAAAGAGGGAAGACAACACTGGTACCGTTGGGCTAGAAACCATTTGGTTGTAAAATCAATTTATTTAAACTTCAGTTTATTGTAGCGCTGTAGATGTTAAAAAACAAACATACTTCTTCTTATATGATGCATCTGTTTGGTCCACATCTTCTAATGCAGAGGGTTGTAGAGGTGGTATGGAGACTTCATGAATTTTCGTTTCGAAAAAGCAAACAACACCTTAGTCTATTGATATTTAGGGATGTACCTACGTGCCACGGTGTGAGTAATTGAACCGGTTACGTCAATTCAAACCAATCCATTTTAATTCGTTACTTTAGCTTCCAACCCAAAATAGAATAGATCAAAGCATATTAACAAAACTAATCATATGAATATTATCATAATGTATTTAACAAAAAACAATCAAAAGAACTTTACTTTTGTAAACTTGTCTGGAACACCTGTTATGGACAAGAGCAAATTGTTATAGAGATGTCGTAAAGTGGTCATAAAGTTGACATCTCGAACTTACTTACCAGCAAGTTCATTCAAGACATGTTTCACTATTATTTTGATGTCTGCACTCTACATGTCTTGGTTAAGAATTAGATATCTATACCTCTACGAATATAGATTTGAGCTCAAAATAAGCTTTTCCAACATGATGCACGAATTGAGCTTAATGTTTATATGCACAAATTAAGCTTAATACTTATGTTATCAAATTTGATGCCTATGTTATTGAATTTGATGTTTTGTTATCGTACATTAAACACCATACTCGTTTTATGAAAAATATATATCAACATAAATAGATAAGAAATTATTTTTTCATACACATATAACCAACTATATTTCAATGTGAAACATAAACTCTAAACCTTAAACATAATAAAATACAATACAATCTGGAATATTTCATAAACCTAAAACCTAAATTATAACTAAACACAATATTCGGTGTAAAACTACTTGGTCTAGATGTACTTTGTTACTTGCATCCAAAATACTAGCTATCCTAGCCTTTTGCTAGAGATTCTTGGGTTGCTTACTATGCACATTTTGGTAAGCATATACGCACCCTAAACCAAGTATAAAATCTAGAGTATTATTATACATGTTTACTTTCGGCCCCCAAACCTAAACCAAGTATAAATCTAGAGTATTATTATACATGGTTACTTTCGGCCCCGAAACGACTAACTTAGGTTTTCTTCCTAGGAATATGTGGGGCCTTTATAACATACGATGAATAAAAAAACAAGCGTTGACATGCCACTATTTTGATTCTTTTTGGTTAATCGACGACCTTTTAGATACACTCTTTGAATATCTTATGCATGTTTCAACACAAAAAACATATATAAATATATGTGCTAATAGGAGTATGGTAATAAGGAAATATGTCTTTCAAACCGTCACACTAAAATAAGTCTGGAATACGATGAACTCTTTCTGAACTGTCTTCCGGAATGCTTTGGTTTGGTACTATACAACTAATAAGAGACTTATTCTTTAAAACCGGAACATATATTCCCGTACGGAATCCGACGGTCCATTTAATTTCAAAATACTACGAGACTCTTCCAAAACAATCTTCGGAGAAAATTATTGATAGGGGATGATGTAAATGAAAAAAAATCCACTTCGAATAGCGTCTCGAATACGAAATGGTCTGTTCCAGATCGTATACACACTGTTTTTTTTTCTAGCCTCACCTTTTTTCTCAATCCGAAACAACATTAAAATTGTCATAAACGTCATGTTCCAAACGAACCGGTCATTTTGCAAAACTAATAAATGATTGGTCATTTTTGTTACATACCTCTGTCTAAAATGGTTGGTCTTGTTAATATCCTTGTGACCAAATCAAGTTATTGGTGTTAAAATGATTTTAGATAAATGAATCAAGTATTGTTTGCTTCAATTTAAAAGATGTTATTGTTTGATTACAGGAATTTAATACCACGAAATATAACATGTTTGATTTTAACCCAACCCAAATTATATATACTCTTATTGGTGGCAAATCCCGAATTTAAATTCATGTGTTTTCAATTTAACTAAAGTGATAAAATACACAGATTAAAAATGGTTTGTTATCATATCGGGTTCTCAATAATACAATTAAGATACATATATTTGCAAAACCTAAGACCAACTCCAAGGCTAACACTATAAATCACACTATTTTTATGCAAAAAACCCACAAAAACAATTTTCAAATCCAACCACACACTAATAATTAACACTAAAAACATATGTTAATATTATAATTATAAAAGTAAAGCTTTCTTATTATTAAATTAGGGTTAAAAATAAATATATGTAATATATATGTTTAGTGGTGATGAATAGTTCCACACAAGTTTGTTGATTTGCTGTAGCACCACACAAAATTGCCGGCAAGTTTACATGTCCATTAGAACAAACTAAAACACAATTTTGCAGGTCCATTGGAGTTGCTCTAATGATATATGACATAGACAATTATTTCTAAATTGATCATAATTTTTTTTAAGCAAAGTCAAAAATTTCATATGTTATAAAATTTAACTTAAGTGATATAATAAATGCATCAAAAATGGGTTGTTACCGTGTCAGGTAGTCGATAATACAATTCAAGGTACGTATAGTTGCAATACCTAAATGATATATGACATCAGACAATCCTTCCTAAGTTGATCATAAATTTAATTACGTGAAATCACAAAACATTCTTTATCAACTTCATTGCTGAAAAATACATGCTCTATAGTGGATGTTCAAACAATAAATTCAGAATTATTTTTTATATCATAGTATCATCGGATATATAATATGACCTTGTTTGTATTAATCATCTATTCCATTATGTACCCAAGCCCATAGAAATGTATCCATATAAAAATTATCATATCATATATAGTTTTTTTTTCAAAGAAAAGTGCGTCTATTGATATATGTTCTTGTCAAGTAGACCGGTTTTTTTCCAAAGGAAAGTGCGTCTATTGATACATAGAAAGTGGGAGCGGATTCAAACCTTTTATATACCCGCCCAAGCCGACCATGTCGAACCCGCAGGAACACCGAAGGAACACGGACACCGGCTACCTCATCCGGCCACAACACATACACACCGTGCACTCTAATAATCCAACATCAATCTATAATATAAATAATAGTTTCATCAATAAGATTATATCATATTTTAAATATTGATATTTTATTTATACAAATCATTTTTATTTTTCTTAATTTATAGTTAATTTTGTTTATATAAACGCATATTAATTGATGGCACAACAGTGACATAAAATTAATGTTATTTTAATAAGATTACATTGTGTAAAAAGAGAACCCACATAAAACTACACCATCTATGTAAAATCTGGAAGGGGGCCTCTTTGGCAATTTGAAATGTTCAAGGGCTTTTCCATCGATTCTCTAAAACTTTAGGGGGTTAATTTGTACAATAACTATATATAACCACTCCTCCTCCACGAAAAAAATAATATTTTCCCACCAAATTGAGCAGAGACGTGAAACAATGGACAAGTCGTCGCCGGAAAATTTGATCGTCGTCAAAAAAGACTCCAACGGGATAGCTTATGTAACAATCAACCGCCCAAAGTCGTTGAACTCTTTGACGAAGCCAATGATGACTGATATGGCGCGTGCGTTCAAGTCTCTTAACGCCGACGAATCCGTGGGCGTCATTATACTGTCCGGGTCGGGTCGGTCTTTCTGTTCAGGCGTGGACCTGACGGCAGCGGAGGATGTTTTCAAAGGAGACGTGAAGGATGTAGAAACCGATCCGGTTGCTCAGATGGAGCTGTGCCGTAAGCCAATCATCGGAGCGATTGCGGGGTTCGCTATTACGGCGGGGTTCGAGATCTCCCTTGCTTGTGATATATTAATTGCTTCTAAAGATGCTAAATTCATCGATACACATGCCAGGTTTGTTGATTTTTTATAAAGCTGGTAGTATAGCTTCAATTTGCTCTGATGAGTGATTACCATATTATGCTAAAACCCTAAAATTTTCTGTTACTTGAATCTAACTTCAAATCTAAATCTGCAGAAGTTTAACAATTCGAACTCGAATTAATTCATTGTTCATGATTTGAGTCTAATGAGAGATTGAAATGGTATTGCAATTTGCAGGTTTGGGATATTTCCTTCATGGGGCCTGTCGCAAAAGCTTTCACGGATAATAGGAGCCAACAATGCTCGAGAAGTATCTCTAACTGCGACGCCATTAACGGCAGAGAAAGCAGAGAAGTTGGGATTGGTGAATCACGTGGTTGAAGGTAGCGAGTTGTTGAAGAAAGCCCGTGAAGTTGCAGAGGCGATCATGAAAAATAATCGAGATCTGGTTTTGAGATACAAAGCCGTTATCAACGATGGTGTCAAGATCGATCTTCATCATGCTCTTTTACTAGAGAAGGTATATATATGCTCAATTTTGGAGTTGAATTGTAGATCGTAAATGAAAGGATTGTTGCTTAGCGTTTGTGCTTCTGATTGTTGTAGGAGAGAGCTCATGAGTATTATAATGGAATGACGAAGGATCAGTTCAAGAAAATGCAGGAATTCATAGCAAGTAGAAGCTCTAAAAAACCTGCTTCAAAGTTGTAAAAGTTGTAGCTGATGAAGCCATTAATGTAAAATCAAGGTAATTCCTTTTTTCATTGCAGCAGTTAGCAGATCTAGAATGTTACTACTATTACAATAACCTGTTTCTTATTAACAATAAATTTAAAAATTGTAATAAATTGATTTTGATTATAATTATTTGAGTATTTAAAAGTCAATTACGCATGATTTTTTATTTAATGTTAAATGTACCCATGTCTTAGTTAATGAGTATAAAACTACTCATTTTGTCATTTTTCAATTTCTATAGATGTTTTACAATTTAAAAATAAAAGCCTTATGGAGTTTTAAAAATCTATGTGAATAAAAGTATAAATGTAAAGAAAATGAATTATGTTAGAGGGGTTAAAGAAAAATATGAAATCCTACCTAATAAATGAAAATAATTTTGACACATGTCATTCTCTCATGCATTATGCCACATATCATTTTGTTATAATTTTAAGATATTTATTTTCCACTTGTCATTTACTTTATTTTTCATTTTTAAATATATCATTAATTTAGTTTCTATAAATTAAACATACCATAATAACTATATTAATTTCAAATTT